ACTGCCCCTGGAGGTAGTTAACAAGCCCCAAACCCCGCGGTGCGCTTTCTGTCCTCCCTAGAAAGAAAAATGGCGGTGATGGATAGATGGTCCCTACCTCATCCAGGGTGGTGAGGGAGCTGTCAGCTCAGATTTGGTATTTATGATGAGATATTCCCCTCTCTGCCCCTAAAAGCGTGCCTGGAGACTACAGCTTTCCCACCTGCTCTGCAAACATTTGGCCATCAGGGTGCACCCTTGTAGTGGTGGGGGGCCACCCATAACCTCACTGCAGGGAGAAAACGGGAGGGCAAGGAGCCAAAAGCACACTTTTTTTTGCCAAAAACAGCAGTTTCTGTCTAGTCTTGACTAAAGTGAGGATGTCTATGATATTGTTGCTCATTACTTGTGTCCCAGTAGCAGCTAAGAACTCCTGGTTACACACGAGCACTTCCCAGCTTCAAGGGAGATGCCAGCTTAAATAAAACCCTCTGTAATTTCATGCATTATTTTTTTAAGTATTCTTCAGCAGTTCCTGTTTTAATTTTTGCTTTCAAGTTCTGTTTAAAAGGTAACAGTTAGCTAAACTGAAAAAGAGGAGGGCAGGGAGAAAAAGGAGAGTTTTTAAACCTGCAGCCATTGATTTCTTTAGTATATTGCACTCAGTCTTGTTTTCAGAATGACACAGTAACCCCCAGCAGATTTATGTGCAGATGCAAAGATTAGTGACCCAGAAGCTTGACTGAAACAGATTTTCTGCTTCCAGAAGACAGGTTGCTCTGCACAAGCACTGACTGTTTTGTCAGGAAAGATGCACTGGCCCCATTAGCTTCTCATTCTCTCATGAAAAACCCTCAGTGTTTATACAGCACAGCTTGGTTTTAATTTTATTGTGCTCTTCAGTAAAGTGGTCTAACTATAGAGATTGCTCAGTTTCTGGGCAGAGAAGAAGAACTTAACTCATATACCTTAATGGTGTAGTGCTAGCATATCTTCAATTGTCTGAGTCTCATATCCACTGTCTGAATAGCTTTCAAATGAAGAAAAATGTCTGTAACTAAAATATTCATTGTGTTCTGTTGTTATTTAACAATAAGCAGTGTGGTTAAGCCAGGTCTTAAACCTGCTTAATCCTGGTGAGCTAAATAGATTTTATTATTGACTCCTGTGGACCCAGAACTCTGACCTTAAGGCTGAAGTTAAAAGCTAATTTTTTGCAGTCTGTTCCACTAACCCAGAAGCACTTGCTTGCTGGATACATTTGCAATGGAGAATGTCCAGCTGTAAATTACAGCTGTTTGTAATCATACCCAAACACAACACTCATTATTATTCTTTTGTTGCTTTTAGGCTGAAAAGCCCACCATGAGGGAGACGGCACAGTACTTAATCCACACATTAAATTTACTCACAGCTCATATTCATGTGCAAGATAAGATTTTCCATGAAGTGAAGATTTACAGTGGTCCTAGGGCACTTTCATTACCCTACTGCTTTTATTTCTTTGTGCTGTACTGCAGGCCAGGTGGGTCTGCTGAAGAGCTTTGAATGCTTAGAGGAAAGTGTTGTACTGCCTCTGAATTTTGTCTCTCACTGTAATAAGGGAAAGACAGCTTATTCACTGTGGTGCTAGAATGGTACTTAGGAGACATGCTTCATTCACAATTGCGGTCTGTTATCCTTTCTGTGTACTTATGCAGGAGGACACAGGCAGACCCTGCAAGCTCTGCCCATATGAACCTGGCACGTAGGGCAGAGGCGGAGCTGAACCTGCTCAGCCCTGGTTAATACATATGTGTTGTCCAGGCCTGAACTGTTAAGTACAGGCTATGATAAACCTTTCTGAGTTGCCACCTTGTGCTGCTGATGGACAACGCGTCTCAATACTAACATCCATTTGGCAGTGTAGTCAAGCCCCATTCATGATGGTTGGTGAGCTACACAGCCTGTCTGAGCTTCAGTCTGCCTTCCCATCAAGTGGAAAGGGTAGTACTTTGCATTTCCACATAACTGTGTCTTGTCTGTCCATGTTTGATCACAGTTAGGGCATCAAAATGCAGGCTGTGGCAGACATGAGCTGGTTTATCCTAATGGGTCTGACCAGTTGCACTCAAGATCCTGAAGGGCAAACCAGTTCTCCCTCTTGTCCTCCAAAATAGTGAAGGGTCTGGGGTCATGAGAAGCAGCAGAGCCCCACATCTGCAGGAAGAGAGACAGTTTGCAGGCAGAGGTGCCACTGCACTACCTCTCGCGAGTGCGTGCACACATTTAGCACTCAGCTGCAAGGAAAATCGAATGGAAAAGGTTGACCTGGAACAATCCAGGCCCTTCCCCTGGTCATGTAAGCAGCCACAGGATCAATGATTAGTCCAGTGGGATCTGTAGCATGTCTCTTCACCTTCAGACAAAGTCACATTTAGGTTAGGAGGCTTGAGGAGGGACTGTCTGTAAAATATAACAACAATAAGAGGCAATTTAGCCTTATAATAGATCACTTAAAGCAGGGAAGGCAGTTGTCCAAGCAGCCTTCAAACTTTCAGTGGACCGAGCCAATGGTTTCTTGTTCTCAAGTATCTGCTTGAGCTGTCATTAAGTGAAGCAGCTAAACTTGTGATACCCTAAAGTAAGTAAATAGTCCAGCAGCAGCTATCAAAAAATACTCACGTGCTTCATGTCACTCATAGACTTATGTTTGTGTTGGACTGAGTTTTTTGATAACATTGCCTTCCACACCGTGAGAGCCCTCTGTGTGAGAAGTGACGTGGTCAGCTTATCATTGGAGTGACTCAGCTAGCTGGCTGGCCTGAAAGGTTTCATGTGACAGGTCTGAGTAATCAGTGACAGCCGAGGGGAAGCCTTGGCTCGGGATGGCTGATCTGAGTCCCAGCAGAGAATGAGGGAACTGAGATCCTGGATCCGCAGGAGGCGAAGGTTGGCAGGAGCAGAGCGTGGATGCCCGGTGTTCGCTGCCACAGAAACAAACACATGGCTCTCACAGCGTTAGCACGTTGTGTAAACTTTCTGGGCTATCTTTGTGAGGAAAACAGTAACATCTCTGATGGGGGATACGCATTTACCACTTATGCCTTACGTGAAAGCTTGGCTGTTTGGAAACGCTGGTGTCCCACAGTTGCAGCCCTTCCACATGGTACAGGGTAGCAAAGGGTGACTGCTGCTACGTTTTGTGGCAGAAATGGTCTAGAGTTTCTCAGCCCTCCTAGCTAGAGAACTTGGAGGAAGAGTAATGATATGTATTGTATATAGGACATGATTTCCAGTATTGAAGACTGTTGTGAATTAGTGAAATGGGGCTTTAAAAGAAGAGCTTGTGTGGAAGGATTAGAGTGAAAAAGAATAGATATCTCTCTAAAACTGGGACTCCATTTCCCTTTATTTAACTTGGGAGCAAGATCTGTAGCACTCATCTGTTCGCCACTGGATGTTTTCCCATACCTTGACTGTTGCTGGTATTTGTTTAGAGTTGTTCTGTCATAGCACTGGAGACGTGATTTGGATGTATTGCAACACTGTGTGAGAAGAGCTATCCCAGGGAA